AAGACCTGGAAACAGAGACACGTTGAACAGGGCTAAGGCCAGCCTGTCCACAATCACGTGTCAGGAGAGTCCGCGTCATGGGAAGGGCTCGTACCCGACACCCGAGGAGATCAGGTAACAGACGGGGGTCTGTTTCCTTCTACAGTCAGAGAACTATGCGCTTCTCTGCCTTCTGATACCTTTTGATATGCTAAAAAATATTTTAACTTGTATGTATTACTTTTGTAAATAAGAAAAAACCATTTCAACCCATCAAAATGATATGTTTAACCAGAAGCCCTTGGTCAAAACCCTGAAGGCAGAGCAGACTGCTGGGCCTCGTCAGACCCACACCACCCCCTGGGTCCTGGCCCTAGAGGGGTCCTTTCCCACCTGGCCCTCATCGCAGCACTTCAGTGACCTTCTGACAATGCACAGCAGGGTACCAGGCAGCGCCTGCACCCAGCACTGTTTGGAAAGTACTGGGGACATGGGGATGGCCTTGAATCAGAGGACCCATCCTGGGTCCCTTCATACCCAGGGCCCGTCAGGGTCAAGGCCCTTTACCCAAGACCCCCAGTGCAGTTACCTGCTTGGGGCTAACTGCCAGGAGAAGAAAGCAGAAGCAGCAGAGTGAAAACCGAACAAAAAGCGACAAACTTAGCATCTGCGCTGCTTTTCAATCTGAAATTATTGTTTTTAACCTTTCAAATCTTACTAACGGGGTGAAAATAATGAAGGAGTCTAAGCAACCTGGATCCGATGTCCTCCCAGCCGCCCTCCGATCCGTCAGTCACTACACACTGCTGCCCCATGTGCAGTATGACCTCACGAACTAACCCTATTCCCACAGCAGCTCACTCCCACTTGGAACGCCACCCCATCACCCCGTTTCTGAGGCCAGAAAACTAGAAACCACTGCTCACTGCCACCCAGTATCACTAACCTTCACTGACCAAGTCTGCAAACATCCCATGAAACCTTCCCACGCAGTCATCTCCCAGGGAACCCTCCTCACAGGCAAAGCACACGCTGAGTCCCCTCCCCATGACAACAGCCTTGGAATACATCAAGTGCTTCATGGGGGGGAGGGGCCACACGACGGTGGGACATTCTGAGCCTAAGTCCTAAGCTGACAGACGGAAGTTCGGCAGCAGCTCATGCCCAGGTAGAGCTGTCCCAGGAGTCCGAGGCTGGGCATCCTTACCGTTTTCACCCGCCACACCCCCCAACACAGGCCTCCTCTGCAAACGCACAGGTGTGGGTGTTACAGGTGCACGCGAGTGGGGCAGGGAGGAGTGGCTCTTAGCCAACCAGGAGCCACCAGGAAGAGAAAGCACTCTGCCCTCTGCCTGGCACGTCCTCCCGGGCCAACTCCTGCCTGTCTGCCTGACTCGTGGTCCTCTGAAACAGCCACAGGAGGGCACTCTGCGCTCACCCATCAGCTAACGCCACATGCTGCGTTTGCTACCGCCCTGTCCCTCTCCAGACTCGGAACCCAAGCACTCTTCCTTGGAACCCCAGAACCTGGCTCTCAGCAGGCAATGCGTGCTGAATCAAGATACATTTATTCGTATTCTAAGGAACGGGAAACGACATCGTTTCCTAAAGTTGTATCAGGTCTCACTCACAGCATACTCACGTCTCAATGTAGCTGGAAGGAGTGTGGGAGACACTGTCAAGGCGCTCCTGTAAGGCTGCCAAGACCTGCGGGTTCTGCATCACCTGATCTGTGAGCTTTTCTATGAAGAATTAAACACAGGGCCAAACAATTTAAAATATGCCCTCACCATCAAAGAGCCCAAGGCGGAAACCACCTATATGCATCTTCTTAGCCTGGCTGATCTGCTTAATTTCTACATACATCAAGTGGCTTCTTAAAAACATCTGTTTTGAAATGATTTTAAAGACAACTGAAACTTTGTTAATCCCCAGGTGGGTGGTTAAACTCTACTGAAGGGCACACCTGGCGATTTCCGGTTCTTACCTCCCAACTGAGGACATTGTCACTTCCTAAGTGCCAGCAGCTTATCTCCTGTCACCTCGCCTTCTCTCCCCAGTCCCGTGGTGGGGCCCAGAAGCTAAGGACAGGGATGAGCTGGCGGTTCCTCAGGGTAGATCCGCGCCCACTTGTGCTCCAGCTTGCAGCCCAGGAAGCCATGACTGTCCCCAGTGCCCCAGCGGCCAGACTGCCAGCTGTTCTCTGGCTCCACCTTCACCTACAATGTCCTCCGGCCCAAACCCACTTCTCCCACAACTGTGTCCTGACTGTCCCCCTCCCAAGTCACTTGCCTTCACAACTCACACTCATTGGTACCATTTCCCAATGAACAAGGCACCAAGAGGGAAGTGAGCAGTGCGACCACGCAGCGCCCCACACCCGGCTCACGGCAGACTCAGTCTGCTGAACAATCCTCTTACTGACTGCACAGAAACCCAAGCTGAGCGCCCTCGCCTGACTTAAAAGGTGGTCCGTACCTGGGAGCTCTGCCGTCCCTTTTGTAAGAATGTGACGTGGGCGAGCAGAGTACACTGAGTAGGCACTCAATTTTCACTACAAGCCACTAACAAGCACTGTTCAATGTATGCGATTGTGTGCATATAACATGTCCTCTAGCTCTGGACCTGGAATGGCCTAGAAACAGTGACACCTGGCATCTACACTTAGTTTTTAAGTATACTTAGTTTTTAAGTATCTCTCCCTACCAAAAACACAGGGCCCCTTGGATAAATGATAAAGTCCAGGTCTGGGGCAAGGCGAGTTCAAGGGAACATGCGATATCACTGTGCCATAAAGCTACTCAAAAAAACAAAAAAGCACTCAAAACTTATGGGGACACAGCAAAAGGACACAGAAGCCAGCCTGAGGGACCTCCACTGGCCAAATGGGACAATCTGTACACCAGGAAGGATGATGATAGCAATCGATAAGACACTAAAGGAACGACTGAGCCATGTGTCTACAGTGACACTAAGGGGGGGGGGGCTTCTTTAACAGTGGTAATGAGTGCTGGACTGGCAGAATGAGAAAACACCAATGTTGTTACTGATTCAGCAAGGATCGCCAATGGCTACTGAAACCACTATGTGAATGTCTCACGGAGAACAAGATATCCACAGGGGGCCCAACAGGTTACTTACTAGCAGGCCCTTTATGAGGGAGATGTCTGGCAGACACCATCTTAACCAAGTCACCAATCTCAGCACCCCCATCACGGGCCTGCCTGCACTTCCCACTGTACCAGGTCACCTGGTGGTCATGTGGTGGTCTTGCCAAAATGTGTACCCCGAATCTAATGTGGAAACCACCAGACCAATCCAGTGTGGGCATTCTACAAGACAGCTGGGCACACGGCCTGCTGGTTGGTGTGTCACTGCGGTGAAGGGTGAGAGGGTGTGGGAATGGCTCTACAACAAACGAGACAGAGCTGAGTGCAGCACACGATCTGTGGCTCATCTGGGTTTGGCTGTGGGGCGCAGCTGTGAAAGGCCCGCTGAGGAGACAGGGGACGTGCCATGACCATACGTTAGCTAATGGTAAGGTATTCAATGTCTCGGTTGTGGTAATGGCGTTGTGATTATGAGAATTCATCCCAGTTTTCCGAAAATTTACTCTGAACTGTTTTAGGGGCTCTTTTAGCCAGTATATCCACTACTTGCTTCCAAAAAGTTCAGGGGGGAAAAGTATACATAGATTTGAAAACGGAGGGGAGGAGCGGCTGGTTAGCTCAGATGGTTGGAGCACAGGCTCATAACACCAAGGTTGCTGGTTCGATTCCCACAGGAGCCAAGGAGCTGTGTCCCCCACAACTAGACTGAAGACAACTACTTGACTTAGAGCTGATGGGTCCTGGAAAAACATACTGTTCCCCAATAAAATTTCTAAAAAAGAAAATGGAGAGGAAAAAAACACATCTACAAATTTATGGACAAAACATGGTTATCTGGGATCTGCTTTGGAACAGTGGGGAAGAGAAGGCACAGATGAAGAAAGACTGGCCGTTTGTTAATCACTGGTGACGCTGAGTGCCAGCAGGTACAAAGACGGACACTGTGCTATATTCACTTTACTTCTGCAGCCTGAATTTCCTATAACAAAAAATTCTCAAACAAAGTACTGATTTTCATTTTAATTACTCTAACTTCTCCTGAAATCTTTGGGTAACCCTTTACTTGTATTTCTATAATAAACGGTTCAAGAGGCTCCCGCACTGCATGCAAGCTCTCCGACTGTTACCTTTCCCACGTACGCTGAACTGACCTGTAGCAGTTGCGCTTTTAGCAGCTTCCAAGGAATCTGAAGGAACCCCATCTGAAAAACTAGAACAATATACGTAAGAAAGTATTACTACACAGAAAGCTCCGACGATAACTAGCACAAGGGCCTTTTCCGTATTTACCATATGAAGGTGTCTCAGCAGTGACTGGATTTGGGCGGAAGAGAACTATGGACACACACGTGGGTTCTATGCAAGACACTTTATTGTTAAAAACCAACTCTACCACTTAACTCCCCCGCACCCACCCCCACCCCATAGTTCTAATTTCCAATCCTGGCCACAGCTTCTTAATTTTCCTCAAAAATAAATCTGCTCCCTACTTTCAAACCAAACCCACTAACCCACCAACAAGCATGCCATGGTGTTGGGACGGAGAGCCAGGAGAGCAGTTCCCAGGTTCTCGGCCTCACCTGGAAGGGTGCTGGCTCGGTTATTGGATGGCCGTCAGCTGTGACTGGTTGGCCATCGGCAGTAGCGAGTTGGCCATTAGCCGCTGTTGTTTTGCATATAATTGCTGCGGCTGCGTTAGCAAGAGCAGATGTCGTGGGTTGTGCAGACCCTACTTCCTGTGTCTTGCCTGGCTGCCAGCGAGACTGTGGTGCAGGAAGACCCCTTGTTGGGTCTTAGTGGATGTTTGCTTCTCGTGTCTCCACCGTTTGCCATTGAGAATATAGTGGTATGAACCCCCTGTCTGTGGCTCTGTTGTTGTTCCTTTTCGGCCCCACCGAATCCTGCGTTCATCTGCTGGGAGCTGAGCCCCAGCAGGACACTGGGCATGACACATGGTTTGGACACCTGCTCGAGCAATCCAAGAAAAGCCACCGTCCCAAGCTGTGAGGACACAGTATCCAGCGGCTCTGTAAGCTGGCCACACAAAGCCTCTAAAAATAACTAAATCTCACCAAAATAGGCCTAACAGTTTTCAAACATACCTGGACACACCTCCCTCACCAAAAACAAACCACTTAAAATACTACATACAACCAAATGTGACCTTCACGATGACCCACAAAACAGAATCCTTCACTTGACCACAGGAGGCTACAGGATATCAGGACAGGGTCAAGTTTACCACGTGACCTCACCCGGGAGTGTGAAAGCCAGAGGAACAAACCCATCACTTCCCCCAAATGGTTTTAAGTATCAATGTGTGAGACACATTTCATGTTGGAAGCAATTTCTTTATGGGCTTAAACACACAGGGCAACAAAGAGCCATGAGACGGAGGTTGTAATGCCGCGAACGCATGGCTTGCTCTCACTCAGCTACAATGTAAACGATTCAAGTCGGTTTTGGCTCACCTGTTATCTGCCATCTGAAGGTTTTTATCTCCTACAAATTAAAGAAAAGTTGTTACAATTAACATTAAACATTCACAAACAGAAACTGTCAAATGTGCTTTTCCCAGTGTTGTCTACAGGGATGAGGTTTTCCTAGGAGGAAACTTTCAGGGACGGTGGGCATGTCCTACATCTTGAGGGGGGTATTGGTCACCTAGGTGTATACACTTGTCAAAATCAAATTATATACTTAGGATCTGTACATTTCAACGTGTGCACATTTTGCTCATAAAAATTTCTTTTTGGTACTAAAATAACCAGACTTCAAAATAATATTCAATTCTAACTTGCCCTATCTACAGAGTAAGTTTTAGCAACAGGAGTACGAGTATATATTTATGCTAGGCCAATCACGTTGGAGAATGCAAAGCCTTTGCTGCTGTGCACACTGGTGGCTTACTTGCACACTGAAGACAGCGCTTGTGTAGAGACATGTAATACACTACACTCTGTCCGATTCCACTTTTACAAGACACAGATTAAGTCTGTCTCCAGATTAGGTGATGTGTACCTATGAATACTAAAGGCAGGTTCTGAAATGTCTGCTTCTTAACCCTGTCTAAATGCATAGGTAGAGTCCTTAAATGAAAAACAGAGGCTTGGTGAAGTTCCTTAATCTTAGGTGGTGTTTCACATGTAGGTATTTGAACAAAGTCTAAATCCCTCAATCACAATGCTTTAGGGTAAAACAAAGCAACAGAAAATCTTATTTAAAAACAGCTCCAACTGGAACTTATCTGCAATTGTCTTGGCTCTAACTCAACCCCATTTTTCTTGTTTTGTTGCAAAATAAAACATGCTAATTATTTTTAAAATTCAAAATACCGCATAAATGTTACATTATCTTTTTCAAAAAGTTTAATGATTTAAGGAAGCAAATGAAAACCATAAGGGAAAAATAATGCAACTACTCTGATGGCTGGCCACACGCACACTACTGTACCAGTTTGTTACGCACATGCAGCTAAGTTAGTGAAGGGTTTTAAACCCCTACAAGAGTCCCCATCACCTTCTGCAGAGTCGAAAGTCCCTGCACACAGTAATCCGAGTTCCTACACTTCCAGCTGTCTGCCTCGCCACTCTTCTTCCCAACCCATGCTCATGTGCGGTTTGTGACCTGCGTGTAGCTGCAATCCTAGTATCCCCAAGCTTTGGAGATAGGTAGGTCTCCAAAGAAACATCTGCTGGCAACATCCTTGGAGCTAACGCACTTACGTTTACCAGCTGTTAAACACTGAGGGTTTTTCCCTGTATCTTTGATATATTTTGATAACATCTCTATGAATCTCAGTTTATTCAGCTTTCCATCCCCAAGTTATTCTTTAATTATGACAAGAGTGGGATTGCAATAGGATTGCTGGGGCAAAGGGTCCAAATGGATCCCCCACCTGCTGCCAAACTGGTTCCACACTGATCCCAACTACAGCCTGGCTACACGTAGTTACAGCTGTCCGTGGTCTAACAAATACACCCACAGTACCTTCCGTGGGCCGCAAGGAACCTGCTCTCCCGAGGCCACCGCTGCCGCTGCCAGTTTAACGGACAGAGCCCAAATTTCATCGCCCAATCAGTAAACACCAAGCCACACACCTAATGCCAACACCCCTAACTAGCAAGGGACCAATGTGACAGGCACCTTCGTACTTTTTATACCACACCAATGACCGGAAGGGAGCATCCCCAGTGTACTGATAGGACACTGAGCCGGGAAGCGTCAGACACCTATACCAAGTGCAACGGCTAGTAAGAGGTGGACTTGGGTTTCTGTCAATCTAACAGGAAGTAAACCAAGGCGAGCTCAAGTTCCCAGAAATCGAGTTTATTCGGGAACTGCAATTCGCGACACCCAGACTGCAGTGAGCTACCAGGTTTGGGACAGATTGCTTTTATGGGCAGAATGCAAAAGAGGAAACCCAATCAGGGGCCATGCAGCAAGGTCGCTGGCTCACAGGTGAGGAGAGATGAAGTTTTTATCTTCTGTAAATCAAGCGCTTACATCAGTCTCACTTTCAGTTTCAATTTTCTGAGGGCGCATGCGTGAGATTCACCACTTCATACCCTTTGTTTCATTTTAGATTAAATCCTCTCACATTCCCCTTTCTGCTCAAGGTCTTTTGCAGAGCATAGCTGATCATCCTTCCTGAAATGGGGATCTTGCTTAGTCAGAGGCCTCATTAGCCATAGGCATCCCTCGGACCTGAGGACCATCCTCAGATGTCCTGTCCCAGAGGGAAATAGCAGGCCAACATGTGGCCTCATCTGAACAACAGAATGGTCGAGAAATGGGGAATCTTAGTCATGTTCCTGTGACTGGTCAGTTGAGCTTCAGGGTAAGCCTTGGAAAGGAACAGAACTTTATTTTGTACATACACCTGGGAGGAAGACATGTGTTTGCTGACACAGGAGAAATTTAGTGAGGATTACACCCAGGGCCACAAGTCCAATTACAGCTATTGACTTTTCAACCAGTCCCCCCAAGCTGTCTATACTTAAAAGGTGGAAAATGTCCCAGGTCCTGGCAGCCTGGCCTACTTCAGTTAACAGTTTGATGTTATCTGTCATTACTTGTAGTTCTTGTGTTATTTCCCCATCTGGTAACACAAAAACGGCATTATTCCCCAGACAGGGCACAAGCTCCTTCTTGCTGGGCAATGAGGGTGTTTGCTAAGACTTCTCCATGAGGCTGTCTGTCAGGACTGATGGTCAGAAGCTCAAAGAGCAGCACGGAAGGCGGGAGCCCTGAATGACTCCGAACTGCCAGTGCGGGTCCCGCTGTCCCCCCGCCCCTACTCCCCAGGGGAAAGGCTCAGGTGAAGGCACGTCCAAATCCCTTTCTACCTGCGATGTGGTGTCGGTGGGTGCCCACCCAAGGCTGTACCCACCCCAGCTCTTTTCAGTTGGTAGGAGAAAGGGTCCAGGCTGGGTGCATAGGTGGTGGAAAGGTCTTTCCTGACATCGGCATCAGGAGTGACAGCGACGACTCCACGTCCTTTCCATGCAAGGGCGAGTGTGGAATACACATTTCTTCCACATAGAAAGAACCGATGTTTTCTAAATATGGGGTGTAAGCAGACCCTTTTGCTCAGCCTCTCTTTCCTACAATAAGAGACGATCTCATGATTAAAAGCAGCCATTTACAGGGCCGGCCGAGTGGCACGATGGTTAAGAGCTGGCTTGGGATGCCAGAGGGCCCCGGTTCGGATCCCACATATGAGGGCCAGTGACACTGCCCTCCACAGCTGAGATGCTGAACAACAGCTCAACCTGGAGCTGGGCTGCTGTGAGTCGCCGGCGACGGTGTAGGCTGCAGCCCCTACTGCAGTGGGTTGCCATGGGCTACCGTGTGTAGCCAGCAGCCAGCGTGAGCAGCCAGCAGCCTCCGTGAGCGGCCGTCCAGAAGCCGGCGACTGATGTGCCTCGCCCGGGAAGAGCGCAATGATGGTGCCAACTTGGGCCAGTGAAGCAACGTCCTTCACAACTAGACTGAAGAACAAAAATGACAGCAACTTGTCTGTTCCCCTTCCCCCAATTCCCCAATTAAAAAAATCTTTAAAAAACGCAGCCATTTACACACACACAAGAATTGGTGTTACTGTGGTAGGAATGGTTACGAGAACATCTTAAATTCTGAAGTATGTGGAGTATTAGGTGAATCAGATTGTTCTGGGTGAGGTTCTGACAGAGGTCTGGGGGTTTCCTAGGGAGAAGATAGGTTGAATCAAGTTCCCACTATCCGCCGGCTTTCTGACCGATTTCCCATGAGGTAACTGCTGTAATTTTCATCACCCCACCAGAGGGACCCACCTGCCAAACCTTGAATGGTCTATTGAGTAAATTAAAATGTCTCAGGGGGTACGACTAAGCTTCCCTGGGTTGAATTTCAGACAGTTTGGAACATGCAAAATAAGCCCCTTTTGTGGCCTTGCTGGTGACTCCCCACCGCTACTGATTCATAAATGTTGCCGTTTTCTCAGTGGACCGATGGTTTAATTTGTGTTCAGGGGTCAATAAAGGAAGTTTTAGGTTTACTGGCAGGACTGGCTTATTACTGGGTCCAAAGCAGAGCCCCTTTTCTTTGGAGTGCCTGCAGCCTCGACTTCCCAATGCTGCTTCTTTCCGAGGCCAGCCCTGGTTAGTTCCCTCAGGTCCTCGCCGGGGGGAGCTGTAGCCTTCTGGATAATGAGTTTCCGTCTATGGATGGTGTTTTCACCATAAGGATGGTGTTTTCTGCAGAGATATCATCGGCAAGGTGGTTTCTTTTGGCTTCCAGATTTTTTGCAATAATGATATGATAGGATGGATGTGCTTTGGCGTCACCATCTATTGGAGCTGCTGAAGGGTCAAAATCTTCGTTGTCTTTCTTTTGGTGTCATCTTCTGGGATAGGAGCCAACTGACTAGCCAGGCTGATAAGGTCAGGGTGAAAGCCCTCTCTTATTTTGTACAGGTTCTTTCGACTAACAGGGTAGGTCCTTGTTTAAGTCATTTACACATCAAAAGCCACCTGGGTGGCTTAGACATCTATGGAAGCCTGGAATTTCCTTTAAAAACAAACAAACAATCAAAACACAACCCAGCCTGGAGTTGGCTTCCATAGTCAGGACACGCATGCAGGCTCTAGGATGGTTTCATGCAGGCTTTTGGCTACACTGCAAGCGAGGTCATGTAAAAGGCTGGTGGCTGGTTTAGGTGCAGTCCCAGGGGTTGTTCAGCTTTCTCAAGTGGCAGTTCTAATCCTGCACTGGGCATGATCTTCTCCAGTAAGCATGTGGACTAACTGCCAGAGATTGGAGACCAGGCTGGTAGGTGAGGGTCACACTTGTGAATTTCTCAGCTAAGCTGTGGGAGCCTCAGTTACCTTGGGAAAGTCCTTCAGTACAGCCCTAAGCTTGGCTTTTGTCCGAGTGTAGGAAATTCAGGGTGGTTTAGCAGAACTCTCACAAGGTCTAATTTTGAAAGGGACACTTTTCAATGAGTTTGGCTGGTGAGGTTTCAGAGGAAGGAAAGATAGGAAGTTCAGATGGGGGGAGGAGCAGGAGGTGGCCAAGAGGGCCCTGGAGGAGCGGAACAGTGGGGGTGGGAGGGACCTCAGCCAGCACCAAGAGGCCTCTGGGTGTTTGTTTTATCATCTTTAATTGTATATTTACTTCAGTCAATTTGGAAACAGTATTTAGTAAGGAAGCAATTTTAGAATCCTCAACCTGTTTAAAAGCTTCCAGTTACCAACTAAAATAAATATCTCATTTGGATTATTTAATCTTGCATTCTTCTTAGTTCACAGAAAAACAGGTTTGGGGAGACCAAAGATTCCCCGTAATGACACTAAAGTTCTAAATTATGCTTAGGGAGAAGGTCCATTTAGTAACAAATGCGCACGAGGAAAGACTGTGATTTTTAACAGGAACTGGCTGGGGTTTCTGAAGCAGGGCCACCCTTACAACACTGAGATGACTGGGATCCCACTACCGAACCCAGAACAAAAGATACAGCTGCCCTTGAACAACACAGCATTTAGAAGTGCCAACCACCCACACAGTCGAAAATCCATGTATAACTTAAGCCAGCCCTCTGCATATACAAACTCCCAACTGCAGATAGAAAATACAGTTGACCCTTGAACAGCATGGGTTTAAATGGTGCTGTTCAAACCCGTGTTCGTCAGGGGTCAACTGTACTCACCAGGAGGACAACCTGTCCCTATCCAGATCCGGAATGAAGTCTGCGAGCTCGAAATCCGAGGGGCACCTCACTCAATCCCGAGGGTCGTCGTTCCTTGGTGGTTGCTGCCTTCGGATCCCAGTTCTGACACCATGTAATGCCAACCTATTATAAAAGAAAGGAGGTAAACTAAGGCGAGCTCGAGTTCCCAGAAATCAAGTTTATTCAGAAACTCTAAAGGAACTGGATTCAGGACACCCAGACTGCAGCGAGCTACCAGTGAGTCTGCTGAAGGTTTGGGACGGGCTACTTTCAGGGGCACAGTGCAACGCAGCAAACCCAATCAGGGGCCATGCGGCAAGGTCACTGGCTCTAGATGGGAGAGTTTAAGTTCTGATCTTCTGTAAATCAAGCACTTACAAGACATCAGTCTCAGGGTGTTTCAGTTTCAGTTTTCTGAAGGTGCATGTGTGAGATCCTCCACTTCATACCCTTCGTTCCATTTTAGAGTAAACCCTCTCACAGTCACATCCAGAGCCTCCTGACTATTCCCTGCCACCACCACCCACTTCGCCTCCTGCTGCCATTTCCACCTGCTCAATTCAGAATTGCTGTTGCAACAGACAACCATCGGCAGCCCAGTCAGGGTCAGGATCCTGCAGTTCTGCAGCATTCCCAAGAAATCCACTATTTAGTGTGAAAATACTCCTTCTATCCTGTTCATTACGTAGTCCCAGAGCCTGAAACAGCGTCTGGCACAAAAAATATCTGTTGAGCGAATGAACACCCTGTTGCAAGACACACGCCAAGGAGCTTAGCCTTCCCATGTAATGACACCACTCCAACTTAATAAATCCCATCAATACAATCCACTTAATTTCCATCTATGTGAAGGCATGTGCTACTCAATCCTATTTTTGGCAACACAGTGAATCCTATTTTTGGCAACATAGTGGCAAAGCAGTTAAATGAAACCCAACACAAAATTCTCAAAAAGAAAAAAGCCAAATCAGGGTAGAAAAACAAAATAATGAGTTTAAGCAATGGGAATACAAGCCCAGAACTCAACATCTAGAACAAAGCAGACACACAATAACTAACCTGCTTTTGATCTGGAGTTCAACCCTATCCTTACCACTTCCTAGCTCTGTAATCTCAGTTTCAACATCCATAAACTAGAAAGAACCTCCCTGAGAGGCACTGTAAAGACAGAATTACACACGTAAAGTACCTAGTACTACCCATTCCAGGTCTTTTTCCACTTTAACTGCAATATGCTTATAGAACATTGTATCTATTGCTTGATATGAAACCAACAAATCAAGTTACTGCTCCCTTTAAGGAAAAATAATGGAGAATGATGACATATTATAAACAACATGGAGTTCAATTAGTCAAGTTTCACCAACATAAATTATTTATTTTTGTTTAGCAATCCCTACTACAGTTAAAATAGGAAGTTACAAGGAACTACCAAATTTGCAGGTTTGAAAAATATAACCATCCACTGGTTTTACATATTGATATGCTGAGTTTAATATCAACGTTATGAAACCATAAGCAGGTTCTCCTACTTTAAAAGGCAACCAAGGTAAAACATGAAAGGGATACCAGGCAAAAGAATGTTCTCAAGTTTCAAAAGAACACAGTAGGGCAGGTTCCCTCCCAGGGTCAAAACCTTTGAGCATACTATTCTAAATGTGATTAGCATGCAGATTTGCATGATTACACAAATGGATGTTTTGCTTTTATTAAGATACTTCACAATCCTGTTTATGGATTAAATTATTTTTACCCCAAATAATAGAACCGTTTTCATGGAAATTTTTTTTTTAATTTTATAGCAAATTATCCAACATAACTTCAAACTCCTAATTTTTAAACTGAAAACATCTGGTCTATAGCTAGAGTAACCATATTATTTCAAATCAGGCCCTTTTGAGAAAGGTGTAAGCTGGGAAATATAGTTGCCCTTCACACAGCTAACACTTTTAAACATTATCGTGCCTTAATCGAGTCAAAGGTCCTCACTGTCTTCCCATGAGATAACTGAAGGATTAAAATTAACTTAAATGTAATCAATGTTTCTGTAAGACTTTAGAATTTCATTATAATCTGTAATTCTTATTAAGTTAGAGTGCTAGTTAAATACACCCCGTAGCATAATCACTTGGTTCACATGAAATCTGAAGGCCAGAGATCCCACCCTATGGACCTAAGATGTGAGTCTGATTGGCTCTGGGGGGACAGGTCCAAATCCTTCAGGACATCAGAAAGGACAAAGTCAAGACCTCCAAACATCTCCACCCACAAAACATGGCCAATATATGAACGAGGCCCTGGGATAGTCCCAATCTCACTTATATTGCCCAGTCAATAGATTCTTTTACCCAGTTTATCACTACATTCCTTAGTATTAGAAAATAACTGTGTTGGATTCAATACCCCAGCAGTTAAATGAAAAATCTAAAGTAAACCAAATAACTTTAAGTTTCCAAACTCACAGTAAATGTTCTTGCTGATTAATCTGTAATGTCTTAGCAATTTTTTAAAAAAGGTATCCAGGGGATGGCTGAGCGGCTCAGTTGGTTAAGACTGCGAGCTCTGAGCAACAGGGTCGCCGGTTCGATTCCCACATGGGCCAGTGAGCTGCACCTGAGCTGAGCTGCCAACAGGGGGCAGGATGGCTCAGCTGGCGAGAGCATGTGCTCCTAACAACAAGGTTGCCAGTTCAACTCCTGCATGGGATGGTGGGCTACACCCACTCACAACTAAGATTGAACCCAGCACCTTGAGCTGAGCCACCGTGAGCTGCCAACGGGCAGTCGGATGGTGACTGGACTTGGAGCTGAGCTAGCTGCGCCCTCTACAACTAATATTGAAGGACAACAACTTGGCTGTTCCCCTTCCCCAATAAAATCTTAAAAAAAAAAGGGGGGGTCCAGGTCCTACACTTAAGATAGTCTTGGTTATGTTCAAAGTAATTTCGAATCACATGTAATGACTTATAATCTAATATAGGTATATGAACTTTTCTGGCATTCATCATTAATTAATTAAAAAACACATTTACATATGAACTAAAATTGGCGAATAATTAATGCATCTAGGTGTTAGACACGGGGAATTACTCCTTTTGTGTATGTCTAAAACTGCTTCTCATGTTTTTTAAAAAGAGCGGATAAATGATACGTGCGCCTTCCCCCTGAACAAGCTCCACGAGGCCCGGACCTGCCCACTTGCTCAATGCAGCAACCCCGGCGCCCAGCCGGGACTTGGCAGGACAGAGTCTAAGCAATCTGTGCTCCATTCACTCCCTCACTGCCGCTGAGCGCCAGTGTCACCTGCACACAGCATGGCTTCAGGGACCCCACACACACCTTAGCTTCTCCCAAGCAGTTTCTGAAGACACCCAGGCAGTCAAGTCTGATTACAAGAAGACCTAACTGCCACTGGAGAGGAGAGGACAGTCCTTTTTAGAAACTTACTAGAGACCAAGCCTTCAGTTTTCAGGAAGTAAAAAACTATTTCCTTTCCTTAATCAAAACTATTTTTATTCAAGGCAGTTGTTCTCCATTGTTATAGCTTCTATTTTCTCCTCTGCTCACTTTTCTCTGCAATTCATTAGTACATGACTAAGGCAAACATTTAAAAGTTCTCCTTAATCCTGTACTTGAAGATCTTGTCACCTTGTCATTAAGAGTTTCCCCCTCTCCATCCTATGTTAAACCGCACCCCCCACATCCCTATTCCTTCTCTCTACTTCTCAAAAGCACCCACCACCATCTAAGTTGTCAGCCTCCCACTGCAGAAATATATGAGGGAGAGGTCGTCTGTCTGCTTTGCTCAGTGCGACAGCCTAGTACCTAGAACTAGCACAGTGAAGGTGCTCATGAATGAACGGATAAACATATGCAAAGCACTGGAAGCTACTTTGTGATAACTGGGTAAACAAGTAACATCTCAAATTATAACAACTGCATTCTTCTAACCCCTGTACACAAATATTTAAAATGCAAAGCTGATCTTTCTACCACAAAACTATTAAAATAGAAATCATCTCGTTTTGTTTTTGAACAGGCTTTTTTGGAGAATAATAAAGTATATTAAATAAAAGTCCCGCAGGCCCAGAATGGAAGCACATTGAGTTACAACAGCTGACAGAGCACACTTGTAAGAAGAAATTTAAAGCTACCCAGTGGTCAAGATAGAAAGGAAAAGATCACAAAGAGATCTTTTGTAGTTTTTTTACTACAAAAATACCTGTCTCTCCTGTTGCTAAATACTCATGAAATTTAAAATTCAATGGCAACCGAAGTAAAGCAGCCCTGTAGTCATCTGAAGAGGGCAGGGCAGAAAGCCAATGGTCACCAAATGAAAGAAATCTACGTCACCACAAACTACGTCTTAAAAGTTTCGTTAAGTCAAACAACATTCTTCACCGCCCGTTAATAAGGGTTTCCCAGTTTCTGTGTGCTCATGGACAAACCTCACCACTGCAGTCAGTAGTTGAGGGAGTCAAGAATTTGCTAAACTAGGAGATACCATGCAGAGCAAGCTAAGGCCAGGGGAGCCATTTCCTGCAATGATTCCACATCAGCAGCTACTTCCTACTTCTAAAATCACACCTGTGGCAGAACAAATTAAGTAATATCAACCTTTTACTTTGGATGCCTAAATACATTTCCCTTTAAAAAACAAAAAAGTAAGCACTCCTTAAATAGTAACGCCGGACCAAACTCCCAAGCTCCTCACTGCTGCCTTACTATTCAAGTACCGGCCATCAGTGGGAGTAGAGGCTCCGAGCTGTATGGGGTTTTGCCAGTTTCACACAGTGGATGGCACCTAGAACTCTGGGAATTTCAATCACCCTCCTACCCACAGATACTATTTTTCCAAAACAAAAAGAAATTTAGGTTCCCTGGCATACATTCTGCAATACGTGAGTTTATAAAAACCAGTTTTAAAACATTTGAACACTGCAGACAACAGAAAGGAAGAAAAATAACTCTCCAAGTAATTTTGAGCTATATTATGCCACTGATACATGTACATTTGAGGTCACCGCCTCTTGCTGCTAGAAGACTACCAACTGCTAAAAAGAAGAAAAATGGCAAAGACTTCAATCCTAACCCCAGCTGGTCAGAGAACTAACTACAGGCACAGGAACTGGTACGCTCTCAGCATCAAGAGGCTGTTAAAAACCCTGACAGGTTCGTGGAAATAACACAGCCTAACTCGAAGTACTCATCTCTATATAAAATTATGAGCTACCTCATGCAGATAAAATCTCTAAACTCAAAACACCACAGAAGAATCTGATAATGTGAAGTCAACTCACGAAACTGCAACGCCTGAGCACTGTTAGAGGACAACAATGCTAAATGTATCCTTTTCAGAATTCAGTTTGCTGAGGTTATCAAAACAAAAATGATAAAATCAGCTATTGCAAATAATTTCTCCAATCACTATTCTATACTTGTTTTGAAAAATAACACAAAGTTCACAAAAGTGTTTAGGTGTTATTTTATGATACAGAGGCACAGATGACTGTAGATATTCTAAACACTGATAACCGGGGAGGGGTGGGGAAACTGCAAATGTATGTATAATAATAGGTATTTAAAACAGCACTATAGTGTTGAAATAATTTTTTATATAACTACAAATAATTATTGAGAATAATTCTCACCATACCATGAGATGAGGCCTTAAAATTCTAGTGAAAATGTCCCTAAGTAAACTTGGGAAGGTTACAATTCCTATACCTGTTTTATCTATAAAACAAGTCCCTTTTATCACTATAATTCTTTAAGAAATTAAGTTTTGCAATTGTTTTTACTGCATTTTATTGACCAAAAAAGGTCTTGTCTTCAATTGATCTTTCAAGTCTCTGAAAAAATAGGGTAATTTAGCTCCAAAGATGAAAGAAAAAAGTTTCCTTGTACCAAAACAAGTAAAATAGTAGCTAATAAACTGAGAAAATTCATTTCCCGGGGTTTCTTTTTCCTGCCAATTAATTCCACCTTAGTAAGTGAACCACTACTAGGTAACTAACGTTTAAACCACCTTCCTCTTCTCTAGTCGCTGGTTTAACCTCCGGATACATCCCGATTCCTCCACCACCTTTATTGCTTATTCCACTAGCAACTGCTACCTGCGGTCTGGAGCAATTCCCAGCTTCTCCTCCAGAAGCAGTTAGCCCTCTGCGGAACCGCAGTTTTGAGCTGGAAATGATCAACCAGCTCAAATGCGCCTACACTAGCCGCCAGTTAGGCCCCGTGCAATAACGAAAACGTAATTCTACATGAAAACTTCCATTCCCTCTACAAACGCAGTAAAGCTGGGCAGAGTTACCACTGCCTGCATTTTAATCCCAGCTCAGTCGCCTCGCACAAGCCTTCGCCCCGAGTCCCGGGGCCTCGAGTTCCCCGAGGAGTGAAGTGGGGCAACGGCAGCAACACCGGCTCACAAGGCCGTCGGTTACCACGACACGAGTTAACACGCGCGAAGCGACTGGAGTCGTCCCTGGGAACAGCGGCCATGAGTCGCTGAGCGGTCGTTACCACTGCAGGAAGGCGGTAACTTAAAAGGCTGAACTTCTCGGCCCAACGCTTTGGCCGCCACACGCGCGCAGGGGAAGGTCCACAGGCCTCCTTTCCGGTGGGACGCGCAGGAAGGCGGACAGGGACTCCCGGGGCGGGCAGAGCAGGCTCGGGCCGCGCGTCCTCCGGCCGCCTCGCGCGCGCACGAGCACCCGCGCCGCCGCCGCCACAGCCCTGGGCGGGTCGAGGTTCGATGCGGGGCCCGGGCGCGGAGCGGGAATGACTGCGGACGGCGCAGCCTTACCTCCACCAGGCGGCCCCCTCCTGGGAGGGGCGGAAAGCATCCAGACAGGGAGGGCCGCGGGGAGAGGGGCCGACGGGGCTGCTGTCACCATCTCTCCCCTCCGTGACGCGCACGGCTGGTAAACGCTTCTCTTCCGCAGCATGATGGTGGGCAGGCGGGAAGGCAGGCTCGCTGCCCGCCCTGCCTGCCGCATCGAGTCCGTCAAGAGCCCGGGGCGTTCGTCAGTCTGCCGGGGGGTGCCCACGCCGCCCCCCTCGCTCTCACTACACGGGCTCCGACAGCAGCCGGGAGCCCCGCAAGGTCTCCGTTTCCCCGTCAAACCAACAAAACCTGCACCCGACGGGCTTCAGGCACCGAGCAGCCGAGGCTCGCGGTCCCGCTCACCCCAGGGAGCGCTCTGGTTCCGAAAACAAAGGCCTTTCGGCGGCTCCGCGCTCACACGGGAGCCCAGCCCGCTCGGGCCGCGGCTCACATGGGAGGCACGGGAGGCGCCCGCCTCCTTAACCTTCCCGGCGACGCCGCGCGGGAACAAAGCGCCTCCTGACCTTCAGGGCCGCGCCGGGGGCGGGCGGAGCGGGGAGGGACGCCCGCCGACGCCCGCCTCCCCGCCGCCGGTCCAGCCTCCCCCGAGGCCCGCCGCCGCCGCCCCGGGCTCTCCGGACCCAGCCCCTGCCGCCACGGCTTCCCGAGATGGCGGCCCCGGGCTGTTCCCCGCACCCCCAGCCTGTTCCCTGGTCCCCGGCCCCGCCGGCCACCCCAGCGCGCCGTTACCCGGCCAAGCACTCGCGTCCGCACCTCACGCCTCCTGCGGCAGTGGCGGCGGCGCAGGCTTCGCTCGCCCCGCTTGCTCCTGGGATTGCGCAGCGTAGCAGTCAACAACGCCACCTCCCATTGGCCGAGCCTCGTCCCCCCGCGTGCAAGGCAGGCTGCGATTGGACAGCCTCGGCGCAAGTCAACTACGCTCCGGCGCCCCCGGAGATGACCAATCAGAGGCTGCGCCGCGCTCAGACCGCGGACCGTAGGCAAAGAGTGTGACGTCTGCGGCGGCGTACACCCTCGCGCCTGCGTTCCTTCCGCCTCTTTAAGGGGCGGGGTCGCACGGAGACCACGTGGAGGGCATCCACCGCGCCACTGGCACCGCCAGTCCCCTGTCGGACCCTGCGCCACCTCCCGTGCCCTCCTGGCCCCTCCAGTTCGGCTTCACTCCCCGTGACCCGCGCGCTGGCCCTGTTAACCTCCGGCACCCACGCTGCCCCTCTCCCTTGTCTCAAATCCACGGGCTCTTCTAGCCTCCTGGGCATCGCAAGTGGAGTCCCTCTCTCACCCCGCCCCCCTCGCCTCCCGCGCACGCAGGGTCTGTCCTGGGCAGCGCCGGGTCAGTGCCTCTCAGTGACTCTGCCTGGCACCGGCTGGGTGGACCCCACGGGCCAGGAGGCACCGACGCGGCCCGCAGCTGCAGGCCGGGTGCAGGTGTGGCCGCTGGGGCTGGTGGTCGCCACAGTGTGTAGAAAAATACTGAACTAGAAACAACTGGAGTAGGAAGACAACTGGGTTGGAAAACCAAATCCCCAGGCCCGGGCTGCTGAGTCGCTACATTTCTACACGCTCTACCTGCAGCTGGGGATTTTCATTTAGTTCATTTTTTTCAGAAACTTTCTTTGGAGTGGGACTGCTTTTGAAACAGTTTCTAATTTTTAGCAAGGTGTTCTTTCCCTACGGTGTTTAAGGGGGGTGCGGGAGGGAGGGGTGAAACCATCCGGAGACTCCTGTTTGAGGAGCTGTTTGAGGTCTTGCCTCATCCTGTTTAATAAAGGCTCAAATCCACCTAAGCCACTGGGTCTGGCCCGCCCGGTTGTCGGGGTTGGTGCAGGTGACATCCAGCTGATGGAGCTCCCCCACCCCACCAGTGGTAGTCAGGAGGCTGCCATGGGCGGGCAGCTGGGCCCAGTCCTTGGGGGGAATCGAATATAGGTGGACCAGCTGTGGGGTGCGGCCTTTCCCTGGGTCACTGCAGTGAGTTGGGAAGGTGGGTGATGTCCGCCCAAAGCCTTTCTGTTTGTGACAGTGATGTGAATGCTGTTTTAATTCCCTGTGGCTGCCACAGCAAAGTGCCCCAAACTGGCTTAGAAAACACAACAGACATGGATTCTCCCACGGTCCCAGAGGCTAGCAGGCAGACATCACGGTGAGGGGTCAGCAGGGCTGCGCTCCCACCAAAGGCTCTCGGGGAGGATCCTTCCTGCCTCTTCCAACTTCTGGGGCTCCAGGCATCCCTGGGCTGGCGGCTGCATCACCCCAAGTCTCTGCCTCCATTTTCACATGCCTTCTCTGTGTCTCTGTGTATCCTCTTGTAAGGACACTTGTCACTGCATTAGCACACATTATATGGCCTCATCTTAATTTGATGACATTTGCAAAGACTATTTCCAAATGTCAGGTGCACAGGTGTCTGTTGGGAGTGTCCACAATGCATGCTGACGCAGTGCCCCGGTGGTCGTCCTGGCCGGCCATCGGGCATGCAGCAGAGAGCAGGGATAAAGGGGCAGGCATTCCTGGACTGGACCACTGGGGCCAAATCACAGCTCCAGCTCACTCTGGAGCGTGAGGCGCTGGTACAAGCGTTACCTCCAGTGGTGACAATGATTATTTCTTGGTTTTCTTTGCTTTGGAAAACAAATGTGTCTAGATGTGAAATAATCCTTTTCAAAGCTCAAATTGTCCCAGGCTTGGCCAGTGGAAGCGCCTGAGGCTTTTTGTTTTGAAATAATGAGACTCCCAGGAAGCTGCAGCAGCAGCAAGAGGTCCCCTGGGTCCCCTGTGCCCTTCGCGGTTTTCCTGATGGTTCTGTCTTGCCTCGCCAGAGGGGCACTGTGTTGTGTGGCTGTCATGTTGTCTGTCACAGGCACAGATTCGTTGCAGCACCACTGCCACCAAGACCCAGAACTGTCCCATCACCACGAAGACCCTTTCGTGTTGCCCCTGGGAGTCAACCCTGCCCCTAACCCCTGGGGACCACTAATCTGCTCCATGTCCTTAGTTTCGGCAGCTTTAGAATGTCTAAATGGAATCATACAGCACGTGACCTGTGCCTCAGGTCACAATGCCTTTGAGGTCCATCCAGCTGTCGTGTATCACTCAGTTGTCCCCGTGTCATGACTCCGTTTGTCTCTGAAAGCTTCCCTTTTGGGCCCCAGATGGTCTGGTGTCTCTCTGTGCTTCTGCTCAGGCCTGGAATCGGCCATTTCGCCAAGGAGAGGACTGGCACTTAGACGAACCTGGCTCTGTGGGCACTCGTGGTGACCAACCTGTCCCCCTCTCAGTCTACACAGCCAGGAAATACCTGCTGTTTAAACGTCAAGTGGTGTTAACATCAGTGATTTTCCTTAAGTCCCCTGATTTTATACTCAGAACACACCCCACTGAAGATGTACAGGGAAGCGCCAAGCTCTCATATCCGTCCACTGAAGAAGCCCTTTCTCATTGGGCTGACCCAGCGTTTGCGGCAGATGGTCCTTTCTGAAATAGTTGCAATGGTATTTCCAGCCCCTCATGCTCCTCCTGGGGAACCCGCCACGCCCCACGGGGAGGTGCCTCCACACCCTCTCCTTGAGCAAGGGCCTCTGGGAGGAGCACAGTGCAAGTCACACTGTGTGGCTTCTGAGGTCAGATCCTCACAAGACCTACAGCTCATCTCTCTAGGGACAGGCACCTTTGGAGCTACAGGCTGCCACACAGCGGCCACCAAGCTGGACACCACATCAAGCAGCCCCAGCTTTGAGTCTCCCCACCCCGTAGCGGGCATGACTGTGCAAACCTTCAGTGTCTGACCACCCGGAGGGAGACTGTGACCCAGAACCGCCCAGGGGAGACCTGTCAACCCACAACCACCAGAGTCAATGATGATATGATTGTCGTTTTTGGCTGCTACGTTTTGGGGTCATTTGTTACCTAGCAATAGATAATTGGCAGGAGTTTGTTTCACTTTGTTTTGGGCCTTTTTCTTAGCAGTTTATTTTTGGTATGTGAAGCATTTCCAAGGTTCAGCGGTCAGGCAGATCGATACCCAGAGCCTGTCCTCACTGACTCACAGCCATCATGCCCACGTGTGACTGGGTGCTCCCACGACTCCACTGACAGACAGCTGGTCCCGACCTACTGGTCAACGATACTACAGCGAGCAACATGTGCACGTCACATCACACTGAGCAGCTGTGTCTTTTGGGCCGTGTCGTACAAGGAACCAAGGGACAAAGGACAAGCACGTCCACAGCTGGGCCCTCCAAACAGGCCCCCAGGGGTTGTGTGGCTTTGCAATGCCATCACCGACGCCTGGGAATGGACGGCGATTCCCAGCCTGAGTGTCGGGCACCGGTGACTTGATCATTTGTCCTGACGGAGCCGCGCTGACGCCAGGCTCTTACAGGTGTGGAGCGGGTCCTGGCTCTTCAATCCTCTGTCGAGGGTGAAGCTGCTGGAGTTCAGGTGCTGAGCCTGAGCCCCAGCGGGCGAGAACGCATGAGCGGGGTGCGGGCAGGCACTCCCCACGTGGGGCCTGGTGATAAACGGCTGCCCTGCTGTGCTGAGATGTGCTCCTTATCTCGGCTGTCAGCTGAGCAGATGCTGGACCTACGGCGGTGCTGGGCCATGGCCAGGCCCGCCTGCTGAGCCAGCCCTGTGCCGCCCGAGTGTGGGGCTGCTGTGGGGACGGCAGTGTTTACTCATCAGAACCCTTTTGTGTGGGGCTCAGTGGGCTCAGCTGGTTTGAGCCTGCCTTTTTCCTACTCTAATACCTCCCAATGCGCACACACTCCACATCCACACCAGAGGTCAGCGGCCAGCACTCTGCATGCGGGAGCAATTCTAGGTGGGCGGCGGGCGGAGGCAGCTCAGCTGACCCAGCACGCGGAGCACCGCAGGCTGACCCACCGGCTACCCCACCGGTGCTGAGTGTGCAGGCGACGCAAAGACAGCGACAGGCCTCACTGGGGGGGAAGGCTTTATTACCGATGTCTCAGAGCCGGTGATGGCATGGGCCCTGGGGACAGAATTCTTAGAACCAGGGCCGCTGTAAACATGACCAGAACACGGGCACTGTCACGGGACGCAGGGCTCAGACTGGACGCTCAGCAGTTCACTCGGGGCCTCCGTTCTGAACCACGTGTAGATACTCCTTGTGCAGCTTCTCCTGAGCCTCGAAGAGCTTCTTCAGCTTCTTGGCCTGCCCTTTGCTCAGCTCCTTGCCCTCCGTGTCGTGCGTGGGCAGGCCCTGCGACCGTGAGGACAGGCGGTCACCGACCCCTTCCGAGCCCGGGGGCTCACTGAGCGGGCGCCCCCACCTATCTGGGCACCCGCTCACCACGGCGCTCTGGGCCCAGCGCTGGGAGGCATGCCCGTCCCAGCCACAGAGACATGGCCATCTGGGCGCCCTCCTGCAAGGGGTGCGCGGGGCACTGCACCCACCGGGGTCAACGTGGCAGACACATACAAGAACCGGTCGGGAAGGCCCACGGGGAAAGCGAATGACCGTGGTGAAGCAGCCCTGGGGGCAGGGGACACATATACGCCACGGCCCTTCTGACCAGCTTGTGAGAGATGGCGAATTCAGTCCGTCATTCTCAGTCCGGCCATGGCTCCGGTGCCACAGGCGGCTGGCTGCAGCAGTAGACGACCCCGCCTCCCTCAAGCCACACCCACATAGAAAAGCTCCCCCAAGGTTGGAAGTTCCTGCCGCCCCAATGTAATGGGTCTACCCAAGTTCTGAAAACAAAAGGAATTCTTACATTTTCGTCAAACTTGGAATATTTGTCGCTTTCTGACAGGAACATCTCGCTGGGTGGGATCTTCATCTTGGCCAGCTTGGCGGCCTGGAACACAGACACGCGGTCACTGCCACGAGCACACGCGGGCTTCACACAGACGTGACATCGCGTGCACAAAGGCCGCCCAGGATCATAGCCAGTCACAGGGCAGCCCCCTCAGCGCATCTCTCTTGCCCAGGACTCCCGGCCTCCCTGCGGGCACCGCTGGTGGACGGAGGCAGACAGGGTGCCCGGCAAGTTCCTGGGAGGCAGAGCGAGCGGGGCCCGGGGTGGGAGTACCGCTGTCGGCCCAGGAGAGCCCCGGCCCACACGGACGTGCGCACCTCCTGCTCGTGTTTCCTCCTGGCGGCTTCCTCTCTCTTCTTCCTCTTCTCCTCTTCAACCTGGGGGACAGGGCGCAGCCCCATGAGAGAGGCCTGCCCCAGGCTGCTCTCGGGGCGGGAGGCAGAAGAGGCCCCTGCTGCCCCCCTGTGGTGTGGCCTGGCCCTGTGAGCCCAGCCCATGGAGGGAGATGAGCTGGCATGAGGACAGCCTCAGGCAGCGCCCTGGGCCAGCATTTATCCGTTAGGGCCCCCGGCCCTGCTCTGGACACAAGGGCGGCAGAGAACCAACATGCATTAGCAGATCTGAAGTACAACTGTACAGCTATATGAAGGCACGGCCAGGGGAGGGGGCTCTGCTGGGTGGGTGAGCAGGGACAGCATCATGAGGCCCTGGAGAGGGCGGCAGAGGCGGGCAGAGGTCAGCAGGTGCCAGGGCACGGGGGTCTCATGCCAGGTACGGAGCCCGGGCTAACTGCAGGGGTGAAGGGCAGTGGAGGGGCTGCAGGACACGGTGGAGGCCCACTTCCCACCTGGCAGGCAGCGTGCAGGCAGGGGAGGGGCGCTTCGGGCCTGGGTGTTGGGCTGGAGGCGGCAGGGCCGGGTGAC